CATTTTGTTGAAGTGAACCAGTGACTTATTGCCACCCAGTGAACTATGGACGTGAGCTCTCCAGCAAGATCAGAATTTTTGTGCCACCAGTACAGCTAGTTCTTCTACCCGTGACTCTTTTACTCTTTAGAGCTTTCTTAATTTTTATTAAACAATACAGTGTCATTTGTTCAGGATATTTATTTACAGTACGTAAAGATGTGTTGTTGTGATTGGTTTAATAAAAAGCTGAATGGTCAGTAGCTAGGCAGAAGAGAATAGGCAGGACTTCCGGGGAGAGAGAGGAACTCTGGGAAGAAGGGAGGTGGGAAGACACCAGCAAGACAAGGAGGAAAACAGACATACAGAATGAAAAAGAGGTAAAAAGCCACGTGGCAGAGCATAGATTAATAAAATCTGGTAATTTAAATTATAAGAACTAGTTAGGAACAAGCCTAAGCTAAAGGCCAAGCTTTTATACTAATAAGTCTCCATGTCATTATTGGGAGGCTGATGGTCATGATTGAAAGTCCGACATGAAAGACTGGCTATAGTCAATCTAATTTTTATACTTTGCAATTCCTTATGTTGAACTTTCATGTTTAAATTGCCAAGTGGCCTTATCTCCTTCCCCTTTTTCTCAGTAAGGTTTTGCTATTCAACTCAAGATTATAACACATCATTTGACTTGGATTAGAGGTGTGCATCACCATGCTCAACACCTTGTGTTTTCTCTCTCTTGATTGGCTTTTGACTGAGCAATTATTGCTCTTCTTTGGATAATTCTATCATCATTTAGGTGCTCATATCATTTCCTGAGGAGTGCTTTCTTTAGTATCTTACCTTCCACAATTCTACATTTGAACATTCATTTGTATATTGTTATTATCTCTATAGTAGTTTACTAAATAATAAATTGCAAGAGGGCAGGGATTAAGCCAGAAGTTTAGTGCCAATCATAGCTCATGAGTCAATAAATATGTAACAGGTTGTAGTGGAAAATTAAAAGGGCCATTGTACCTGGAATTTACTCTGGAGTGATGGTCATTTAGGCCTTGAAATAATCTCTTATAGATAATCATTAATTGTTATCTGAGATTTATAAGGCTGCTTTTTCTTGGGGGTTTTAGAACCTTAGCATAACCTCAGTCGTGAGACATTTCCAGCAAAGCTGGAATTTTTATAGTATCGGTGTTTTCTTAGTTAATGGTTCTTTAAGACAACACCTAGTTCAGATAAGATATTTTGCTATTAGGGAATTAACTTGCAAAAAGGCTAAGAGGAGCTACAGCGCTCCTACCCAGTTAGTCCCAGAGAACGGACTCCCCTGCTGCTTTTGCTAAACCTACATTCATTCTGCAGCTTGTCTCTCTTTCTTCAACTGGCCCACGTGACTCAGAACACTGACCTGTGGCGCCCAGTGAGGTGGGCTCAGAGAAAAGAGCAGTCAGGACACTCCAGGACTGGAGGGGATGTTTACTCACCGGTAAGTGAGACTCCAGGATTTGGCAGGGACCTGGCGAATTCCCCATCTCAGGAGCAACAATGTATGCGGTTGTTAAAATGCTTCCAAAAGAAAATGGAGTGGACATGAAAAACCCACCCACCAACCAACCAACCAAACAAACAAACACAAAACCAGATAGCTTACTGAGCTTTCAGTACTGATTAAGTATCATTGCTGCTGATTTCAGGCAACTCTTCACGTTCAATTAAAATTAACAGTGTGGAAAGAAATACTGAGAGCTTTGAGATGAGTTCATCAAAGAGGAGAAACTATACCAGTAAGGCTTTGATCTTTAGTGTAAGTTAATTTCCAAAGCCTTGGAGCCTCTGCAGAGTGAAGAGTCAGAAAAAACTTGGTCAGACAGAGAGCAGTTCAGTCAGCTCGCAGAGAATGTTGCCTCAGAGATAAAAGTGATGTTCAAGAGGAAGGCAAAAGTGAGGAAGGCCAAGACACTACTCCTCTATTAGATGAAACAGATTTTTTTTTAAAAAAAATATTGTAGCATTAGCTATAGAATTGCAAAATTTGCAGATACAAATAAAAAGAATGAAATAAGGAGGGGAAAGTTTCTTCCCATTAGAAAGAAGAGAGGAAATAATTAATCACCATCAAAGACCTCTGGAGTCTCCTCCTGAAGGAACTGAGGAATTGCTGCCTAAGGTCATAAGCACGCCTCCTCAGGTGCTTTCCAGTCACTGTGCAGCAAATGCCTGCAAACCAATATCCTCAAGGTTATGTTCAGGTGAGTTGGAGGTCTACAGAAATGACAGCTCTGAAGTGGTTAAAGAAGAAGCAGAGGCATAGGGTATGCATTTACCTAAGGTAAGACAGAGTTTACATAATTCGGCTACTCAGAATAATTTCTCAGATTTAGTGGCAGCTAGACTAGAAGCTGGTCCTCAGTTGCCAAGCTTACTTGGTGGGAAGGGGAAGCAGCAGCCATGGAACATAGTACTCAGGCTAGAGAAGCAAAAGTGGAGGAAGCGAACTGGAATTCTTATGACTGCCTAGGTCACAGTTCCTTAAGACAATGACTCCTTCAGATAAAGGATTTTGGTATTGGGGAGTTGGCTTTCTAAAAGACCTTTTGTGTATCAATAAAAACAGCTTCTGCAGAGCTCCTAGAAAGTCAAGTCCATTGAGACTGATTTCCCGCTGCTGCTTTTGCTAAGCACAGATTCATTCTGCAGTGTCTCTCTTTCTTCCACCAGCCCTCATAACTCAGAACACCAACAAAAGGTTCGACTATATAAAAGTCACCAGTGGCAAGTAATTGAACTTACAGACACACATCACTGTTGTTATTTGGCACACCTATATGAGAAAATAAGTCCCGAACAAAAACGCAAAGTAGTTAAAGAAGTTTATAAGAGAATGCTGCAAGTCAATGGTAAAAGTAGTTCAGAGACAAGCAAGATTTCTGTTTACAAATATTTACACTTAACCAGGCAGTGATGATGCCCGTCTTTAATACCAGCTCTCAGGGAGGCAGAGGTTGGTGAATCTCTGAGTTTGAGGCCAGTCAGGTCTACAGAGAGAGTTCCAAGACAGCCAGAGATACACAGAGAAACCTTGTCTAGAAAAACAAACAAACAACAACAAATACTTACACTTGAAACTTTAACTCTTTCATAAACATCTACAAAAATTTATTTCTTCTTTGCCAGCTTCTTTAATTATATGTCAGTGGAGAGGAAGATGGTTTGAATGTAACCACTTTGCTTCTTATATATTTTTGGTACATTGTAATTAATCTGATATTAAAAATAAATCTAGAATTATCTTTTATTTGTACTATTCATGGGGTTTCTGGAAGGAAAAAAGAATTAACTATAAGCTGTAGGGGGAAATGCTTTTTTTCTAGTGCAGGGGTTCTCTGGGTTTAAATGATTTATTGTGGACGGTGAGGGGCCACCTGTTGCCTGTGTATCACCGTGGGGAAACTGGCTTTCCTTGGGATGTTGTTATGATCTTGGATAAACCACAGAATCATATATTCTATGGTTTGGGGGGTTAACTGTCTCCTTCTTCTCTGCAAATAACAGACTAGACTGCTAGCTCAGATCCCTTCCAACTCTCTCTCTCTCTCTGAAAATGGACACACCGGAATATCAGTTGAACAATATTCCCAGTGTTAAGACTTTCCATTTTGATTACTATGATTTGGCTGCATCACCATGATTGTAATTACAACTTTTTTTCCCATTTACTTTATGTGTATGGATATTTTGCCTGCATGTATGTCTGCACACAATGCTCCCAGAAGCCAAAAGAGGGCATCAGATGCCCTGGGTCTAGATAGTTGTGAGTGGCCATGTGGTTGTCAGCCAGGCTATTCACCCAGTCCTCTTATCCGATCATCACCCCAGCTCGTGACTGTCAGTTTTATTTAGTCGGTTTGGCATGTTAGAATATGGATCCTTCAGCTTCTGTGAGCTGTTTGTCTCCTGTGCAGGCTGCTCTAGTTCTGGCAGTGTTCCTCTGGCCTCAGCCTCTCATGGGCTGGGATTTCAGGAGTCGGCCAACACTCCAGCAGAAGCATTTGCATTCTTCAGTTCGCCTTGCTCGTATGATGATAAGATTTTCCTGGCCTTCAGTTTCTTGATTAGAAAATATCTGGAAGATTTTGTTAATTGTTTTCGATTAAAAACCATATACATATGTGCCAGGTATACAAGCACCAAGGACACAGCACATGGTTTTTGTTCCGTGCATTTTGAGTGAATTGACACGAGGAAGACACTGAAGTTACAAAGGCTAGTTGGAGGCAAGTCACTCTTAGAAGATCCAATACTATTTTTGTACTTTTAATATTTTCTACTAGGCAAGAACAAAACCTTAAAACTAAGACGGGAACGACAGAGTTATTCAAGATATACTGTGTCAAACAGAAAAAACTCACAAAGAGCATTAAGACGTCCATGGCCATAGACAAGATTAGCGTTCATGGAATGCAAAGCGGTTTGACCTCTTGAGCGCCTATTAACATCCGGAAGAACTCTTAACACTTGTAAAGAAGCGTCTCAAGCTGAACTAAACTACCTACCACGTTTCGGGTGCAGGACACTGAAGGTACTTTAAAATGTGAGCTAGCAAAGATATATCTGAGCTAAAACAAGCTGCAGGGTTAATATTCGTTACTCTATCTAGCACCTCGCGGACGGCCTAATTGTTCGTCTCGGAGGAGCTCGGATGAACCTCACCCATCCGCAGACTTCCGTTTCTGACCGCGGGACTACAGCCGTTTTATTTTCGGCAACCTCTTTCCTACAGGGCCAACAGCTGCAATCCTCTTTCCAGACCTTCCAAGCGGCCCTTTGCCTGCAAGCAGCAGGGGCTGCAGGTGCTGCAGGGGCTGCATGCTCCCCGAGCCCGCGGTGCCAACCGACATCCCATTGGCTCAGCCTGGAGCATGGCCGGCTGCCGATTGGTTGAAAGAAGTAGGCGGGAGGGAGGTGTGCCCTGACGTTACATGGGCTCCCTCGCAGCACAGGATTGTGGGAGGGACGGGGCGACGGGGAGGAACTAAATACCCGGAACGACCTTTGCGGGCCAGGACGGTCACCGCCCGGAGCCTATGTCTCCGCCCACCGGCCGCGTGGGCTCCGCCCCCGCCCCGCCAGCGAGGCCATCAGGTGATCGCAGGCCGCCGCGGTCACGTGGACGGGCCGGCGCGCCCCGAGCTGGCCATGGCGGCCGCGGTGTCCGGTGTGGTGAGGCGGGTGGAAGAGCTCGGGGACCTGGCTCAGGCCCACATACAGCACCTTAGCGAAGCCGCGGGGGAAGACGGTGAGGGAGCGCCGCAGAGGGAGGCGGGCGGACGGTGGGGAGACCCGCGGGCCCGCCGCGCTCGCTGGCCAGAAGGCGCGGCCTGCGCTCCTAGGCGGGGTCCCTGGTCCTGGCCCTCCGAGGGCTGGCGCTTCTGAGCCGGCCCCCATTGGGCAGTCATTTACCCTCTCCTCAGAAGTCGTGCTGCCAAGGCAGCGGGCTTCATACGCCTTGAAACCCTTTCTGTTTACATCTGACCAGATGTGTAGTGTCGAATCTGCGCAAAGGCTAGACTCTGAGTAAAAGTACACACGGACGTTTTCCTGAATGCCTAACTGTTCCCAAATGAACGATGCTTTTTTTTTTTCATCCAGTAAATACAGAGAGGCGTGCATGACAGTTCACGTTCTCATTACTGCCTTGTAAATTTCCCCTTTGTGTTCAGTTCAAAATTCAGTTGTAAATAAACGGAATTTCACACAGTTGCACTGGTGTAGTTGGAATGAGCTTCCCTCCACATCATCTCAGTCCTCGCCAAGCCTTGTGTATTCTGAGAAATGTCTGAGATGTTTCCTCAGGAGGAAACAAAAAAAAAAAAATGGGATGCGAAACACATCGTTCTTTTGACATCGGAATCAGTTTGCTTTTTATAATTTCTCAGTTGCCATTGGTTCGGCAGTACTTCATTTGAATATCTAGCCTTCATCGTGCACGAGCCTTAAAATTCTTGTAGCTAGACTCATACATTTTCCCAAGTGATTGAACAATTGGTATATTTATAGAGTCGGTTCTGCAATTAAATGGCCCACTTTCAATGAAGAACATTTGCTGGAGTATTTCTACGCCGGACGGTGTTCTTCAGTGTCCCACACACCACATTGAGGCTGTCTTTTGGTTTGTGGCAAATGAAACAGGCTTCAGTAGTGACTGTTGCCTAGTCTATATCCCGGTTTCTTTTAATTCTAGCTTTATTTGGATCATCCCAGAGCACAAATAATTTTTATTCCCTTATTGCTGAACCCAACAGTCTTTCATAGTTTTCTTTTGAAAGAATTCTGTGATCCTATGTAGAGGATACCTGGAAAGAAAAGTTCAGTGTTATATAGTTTTGGAGTCTTTATACATCTGAAATTTGACTTAAATCACAGCCATAGCTGTCCAGTGTATGAGCTCCTAGTCAGTATTGAAGTTAATTTTACCCGGTATTTACTAAGAGAGCTTACATGTATTTAAATTATACTTGACCCTTTTCCATACGACAAAAACAAAACACATTGGAAACTTATCCTTTAGCCTAACACTTTTTTATTAAGTCGTCAGTATTGAGAGTTTCTATTCAAACTAGGTTATATAAGGCGCATCTTCATTCCACTTAAGAATGCTCTTTGTATTTGTGGCCATTTTTTTTCCTCATTATTAGCAGTATGATACTGTCTTGTATGGAATTAGACCGTAAGAAGGATATTTTCCAGAGATTATGTGAGTCACTTTTCTCTCCTTCCTTGCCAGTTTACTTTAAATATTTCTAGCTAAAGGGAATGTGTTTTTATGGACTTTTCTAGCTATGCCAGCACCACACCCCTCCTATGGTAATAGCTATAACATCTTGCTTCAGCAATGACTTGGTTCAATACAAGTCTCGGCATTTACTATAATCTTCTAAGCATGTCGGGAATGCAGCATTCCATACTATTTGGGTTCACAGTAGAATCTTGTGTTCTGAGTTGGTTGGTTGGTTCTTTTGGGCCAAGGAGAGATAGGAAGAGACCTAAGTAGATAGCATTCAGTGTAGGTGAATAGTGATCTTACAGCAACAAAAATTCCTCTAAAGCTATAGTTTAGTTTTTTTACTCAGGAAAACTAAAGGGTGTTATTTATGCCAGCTGCCATACCTGATGGTGTTTTTATTCTAACACTGAATAACTTATCTCTTTATGTAACTGCAGAGGCTGGATCAGATGAGACCACACCAACTACTACATTGTCCACTAGCAAATGGTTAGGAATGGTCCCGTGTTTCAGATAAGAGGCCTAGAGATTTTAGTGTCTTTTGCTGTGGTATACATATATACATTTCACTACTGAAGTGAGATCTGAGGGAGGATAGTGTCTTTGGGACTCACAAAGTCTGAAATCAGAAGTCAAGAAAATATGGTAGTGATGGGGAGATGGTGAAGGTTGGAACGTTGGGTAAATTGTGATAGTGTATTGAAGTAGTAGAATATTTGTTTGTTGTTGGTTTTGTTTGTTTTTCTGTAGGTTTTGAAGGAATGAGGTAGTTTGCCCCATACCAAAATTTTAAAGGAATAAGATAGCCCTCTAGATTGTAATTGTAGCTATAGCAACTAAAAATGGAAGTATGCTAGAGTTGTTTACAGTCTGATATTTTCACAAAGATTTGGCCAATTAATCTTTTAGGAAACATTTGCAATTGCATTTATGAAATTACATGCATTCAGTGGAAGCTCTTTCTGCAAATTTGGGGATTTTGCATTCCCATAAAGGTTGTAAATTTATTAAGTATTTTACTTATTTCTACATTGCAAAAAATATAATAAACTGAGAACTACGTAGATGGCTCAGAAGGTAAAGCACATGTTGTGTAGTGTGGTGAACTGCTGTAAATGTGAGTTGTCGCGGGCCACATGTAATCCCAGTGTCCTCCAGGTAAGTTGACCAGCTAGACCAGCAGAATCGCACGCTCCTTGTACAAGTGAGAGGCCTTGCCTCAATATGTAAGGTGAGGAATGATTGAGGAAAACATCTTTTTTATTGTTGTTATTGGTTTTTCGAGACAGGGTTTCTCTGTGGTTTTGGAGCCTGTCCTGGAACTAGCTCTTGTAGACCAGGCTGGCCCCAAACTCACAGAGATCCATCTGCCTTCTGAGTGCTGGGATTAAAGCCGTGTGCTACTACCACTTGGCTTGAGGAAGACATCTTGATGTCAGTCTTTGCCCTCCACGTGCATCCTGCATGTGTGTGCTCATGTGTGTAAACAAGCATACATATGCATGTACACTACACATAACATACCAAGAAAGAGTGAGCTGTATACTTAATTCCTTAGTAAAGTCTCTTAAGAATGCTATTTCTAAATTTAAGAAATAGCAACAGTGAATTTAAAAAAAAAAAAAACTTTAAGCCTTTGCTTTGAAGAATAAATTTATTTCATTGTGATTGGGTTTTATGTATGAAATAATATTTTAGGTAAGAAATTGCTATCTTTCCACAGTATAGTTTCTTTATATCATTTCTGTTACATAGTACTTTTTTGTTTAAAATGCCCTTTAGATTTATGTAAAATAATCATGTTTTTATTACTTTCAGATCACTTTTTAATTCGGGCCTCTGCAGCTCTAGAAAAATTGAAACTCTTGTGTGGAGAAGAGCAAGAATGTTCAAATCCATCAAATCTTTTGGAACTGTACACACAGGTACTAACACAAATGTGATGTCTGGCTTTACTGAGGGTGTGTTTAATGCACACATTCGTGTGGACGTGGAGACTTGTGGACTTGTGTGTATTCACGTGGAGATCAGAGGTTGATGTCAGGTGTTTTCTTCAGTCACACTCCATCTTGATTTTTGAGACAAGGTCTCTCGTTGAACCGTAACTTATGGATTCAACTGGGCCAGCTGGCCAGCCAGTGAGTGCCAGAGAAGTACTTTCTTAGCCTCCCCAGTGCTGGGATTACAGGTACCCAATGCCAGGCTCAGCTTCTTACATGGTTGCTGAGGATCTAAACTCAGGTCCTAATGTTCGCATCAAATACTTCATTGACTGAGCCGTCTTTCTCAGTCCCTGAACTCTGGCATTTTGATATCAGATTGATTATTTAAATGCTAGGCTTCCAAAGGTTATATAAATAAATAAAATCAAATTTTATTTATAAAGTTTATAAATAAAATCAAATTAATTGTAAAGCATTGAATTTTGCTAAAAAGAAAAAAAAACCTGCAGTTTGAAAGGAGTAAGATTCATTAGATACATAAAGAAAAATACTGCTATTAAAATAATTATTGATAACTAATCAGAATACTAGAAATTAATGCCTAATTTTCTTCCCTGGAATTCACCTTTTCTTAGGATGATTCTCACAGTAAACATGATTGCTGTGCTGTCATCATATGCGTTCGTGACATTTTCTTGTTACTTTTCGCTTTCTGTCTTAGTTTGGGTTTCTATTGCTGTGAAGAGTTACCTGACCACAACAACTTTTGTAAAAGAAAAACATTTAATTGGGGTGGCTTACAGTTTCAGAGGTTTAGTCCATTATCACCATGGCAGGACATGGTCGCATGCAGGCAGACATGGTATTGGAGAAGCTGAGAGACCTACACCGCTGGCAACATGAAGCAGTCTGAGGACTGGGCATGGCTTGAGCACATATGAGAACTCAAAGTCTACCTCCACAGTGACACACTTCTTCCAACAAGGCCACACCTACTGTAACAAAGTCACACCTCCTAAGAGTACCACTCCCTATTGGGGCCATTTTCTTTCAAACAACCACACCTTCCTTTTGGGTGGTATATGCTTTCTTGGTCTTTCCAAACAAGCTGACATCTGAATGAACTGTATGCCATTATAGTAATTGATACTTGAATAGCACTTTATAGTTGGCAAAGTGCTTTCGTGTGCCCTTTCTTGATTGCTAAGAGAGTAAAGATAAAGTAGTTATGAAAAATGGAGGACTTGGTTAAGTTTGGAAAGTGCACATTTGTAGCACTGTGCTTCTTCATAGGAGGTACATATGAGTGTTACTGCCTCCAAGCATGACTGACTTAGCCTATAGTAGCTAAACCCTAAGAACTAACTTGGAAGTCTCTAGCTCTTCAGAAAACTTTTCACTCTTGTCTGCTATGGTGAGTATTCTGCTTGTCTTTCACATGAGGATCCTCTAAATACTGAACTTCCCCCAATACAGTAGAATATCTAGGGATACAGACTTAGATTTCCCATGCCTTGAACTCTGCTCATGACTCTGATTCCTTAGCTTCCTCTGTAAGATGCTCGTGGCTCTGAATCAAGATTGTAAGAAGCTGATCTCTCTGCCCTTGGGGATAAGGCTTAGGCCTTATTACTTAGGTATCACAAATTATGCTTGTAGTGTTTCATGTGTTTTACATATTCATTTTACTCTTAAAGAAAGGAACTTTGAAAGGTACTGGTTGTCCATAGTTAGTTTTGTGACCAGTAGAAAAACTACCACTGTAACCCAGTTTCCAGCAGATTAAAATAAGTAAGAGGACTAAGGAGTTTTAAGGTCTTACAGGCTGCTGGGGACTCAGTGTTAGAATTGCACATATTGATGGCATACTTCATTTATGTGGTGGCATACTTCATTTATGTGGTGGCAGGGTGTATGCTCTCAAATACTGGCTGTATATTTGGGAACACAAATCCCCCAAAGATTCAGCATTAAAAAGTAGAATTAGACTATAAAACTTCAGGCATTTATAAATTATCCGGGAGTTATACAGATATGAGCGGCAAATAATAATTGATTACATTTTTATAATTATGACATGTTAATTGAAACATGAATCTTCATTTACTTCTTGAAACAGTAATCCTTTTGGTGCCTGAACATTTTGCTTCCTTTCAAATTTAAATACAGTGCTGATATGGTTGGGTGTCTAATAAAGGCTAAACACTTTGCTATCCTGTAAAGTTTCATCTCTTACGTATACATTTTTTGTTGTTGTTTTAAGGCCATATTAGACATGACATATTTTGAGGAGAATAAGCTAGTAGATGAAGATTTTCCTGAAGACTCTTCTCCCCAGAAAGTAAAAGAGCTTCTCAGTTTTCTTTCAGAACCAGAAATTTTAGTTAAAGAAAACAATATGCATCCCAAGGTAAGTGCTGTGTACATGCAGATTATAACAGAACATTGTCACATTGTCTTGCCGCTGTTCTGCTCTTTTGTTTGTTTTTGTTTTTCAAGACAGGGTTTCTCTGTGTGGCTTTGGTATGCTCTTTAGACTATGTTTTTGATGCTTGTGAATGTATCCTTGTTTTAAGTTAAGATTAAAAGAAAGAGGTTTGCTGAGCTTGGATTCACATGCTTTATTCCTATCACTTGGGAGGCAGAGGCAAGGGGATCTGTGAGTTTGAGGCCAACCTGGCCTACATAGTGAGTTCCAGGCCAGCCAAGACTATTTAGGAAGATCTTGTTTCAAAGTGGATGGGGAAGCCGGGCGGTGGTGGCGCACGCGTTTAATCCCAGCACTTGGGAGGCAGAGTCAGGTGGCTCTCTTGAGTTCGAGACCAGCTTGGTCTACAAGAGCTAGTTCCAGGACAGGCTCTAAAACCACAGAGAAACCCTGTCTCGTTAAAAAAAAAAAAAAAAAAAAAAGCAAAGTGGATGGGGATTGGGGGAGAGGAGGTTAATACTCTAGACCATGATCAGAAAAGTGTATTTTATGAACTACTTTCAGAATATTTATATAATGGAATTTTAATTGTATTGCATACAGAATCCTTTTCTAACACAGATATTTCCTTGTCGCCTTTACTTTTGCAAGCACTGTTTTTTGACAGTCATAAAATCTAATTGTCTTTATTGCCTTTTTTTTTTCTTTAGAGTTTTGAGACAAAGTCTCACTGTGTAATACTGGCTGCCCTTGAACTCTGTAGACTAGGCTGGCCTTAGACTCACAGAAATCCACCTGCCTCCACCTCCTAAGTACTGGAATAAAAACCATGTGCCACCACGCCCAGTCCTTACTGTCTGTTTAAATCCTGACCCTGGTGAACATTGCCGCCTTTCTTACTGGCACTGATCCTTTGTCTCCTACATGTTCTTTTCGCCATCTTTAGAAGTTTTTGCTTGCTCTTTGCCAGAACTCTCCTCTTCTTCATTGTAGAGACAGGCATTGCCCAAGGATGCCTCCTTCATGCTTTGATGTCTCTGATCTGTCTCTAATGTCCTGTTCACATGCTTTGTTAACAGCCTTCTCTAGTTGGCCTTATGTATCTAGGTATCTAGTCCTGGGTTATTCTCCCCCCCCCTTTATTAAACATGTATTTGTGGGTACAATGTGTGCATGCTCATGTGTGTGCCACAGTACACGTATGGAGGTCAGAGGACAACTGGCAGGAGTCAGTTTTCTTCTTCCACCATATGGGTTCTGTGATTGAATTCAGGTTTCAAGTCGTGGCAACAAGTACCATTACCTGCTGAGCCTTCTTGATGGCCCTGCTAGATACTATTTTCAAGTAAATGATTTCTTGTATTTATGTGCCTGTTGACCGTCTATCTAAATACCTTCTTGGCTTTATGTATTCATTAGGACAGGCTTTCTGGTAGAGCAATAACCCCAAGATTTAAAGGCCATACCACTATAAACATTTTGGTTTATTTAAGTTATTTTTTCATATATAGCTTTTCATTATTCTAGCAAATTAATTCTTATTCTTTTCTGTAGTTCCTATTTCTTTCTAGAAAAATAGATATTATCTTGACTCAAAGTCTTCATAAAAAGGGTATCTTTTTAATGAGAATGGATTTTGCATTTTTCCAAGTAATAGTAGGGGAATTTTCTACTATCATATTTCAGCTTAATTTTTTTTTTTTTTTTTTTTTTTTGGTTTTTCGAGACAGGGTTTCTCTGTGGTTTTGGAGCCTGTCCTGGAACTAGCTCTTGTAGACTTAATTTTTAATACTACTTGAAATTAAAGAGTTATTTTGCTGTATATATATCAACAGATGACAATATTTTTACTTAATTCAAGCATAAGCATTTCTCTGTAACCTAATCTGGGCACATTCTGTGATATGAGAATGCTTTTAGTTGCTTAATTTTCTTTAGAAGTTTGATTTTGTAAATGTATGGCTTTTTTGTGGATATGCCTTTTGTGTTTCTTTTCAGCTGTGCGATTTGCTTGGGGATGAGCTACTGGAATGCCTCTCTTGGAGACGAGGAGCCCTGTTATATATGTACTGTCACTCTCTAACTAAGAGAAGAGAGTGGCTCCTGAGAAAATCTAACTTGCTCCAGAAGGTAAGAAACAATTTCATTTATGATTTTGATTGTTAGCTTTACAGACTTTAGAACATTTTATAATAACAGTACTGAAATCAGAGATTCTGGGCTAGTAGACCTACATTTTATAATGACAGTAGTGAAATCAGAGGTTCTGGGCTAGTAGACCTACATTTTAGGTTCATGTGCTCTTGGGATTTCTGTAAAGACTAAGATGACACATGAAAGAACAGCATTTGGAGACTACTACATGTGTTTCTCAGGTTCTTGAGTTTTATTTTTGTTTGAATATAAGATAAAGCTGTTAATTTCTAAATATTTTCTTTGGTGAAAGAAGTTTTGTTTTGTGTGTCTCTTTGTAAGCAAGGTAATCCTGAGAAGCCTGTAGGACCCTGCTCCTAAAACATTATGACACTGTCTGTTCTAACAATTTTTATTCCAAAGACATGAATCTTAGTATTGTGTCACTAAGAATTCCAGCTCAGTCTAAATGTACCCATAGTTTGCATAGTCTTGAAAATGGGAAGCCATACTTTTAGGTAGAAAAAATTAGTTATATCTGAATCATAAAACGGGCTAAAATAGAGTTCACTATATTTCAATATATAGTTCAATGTAGGACACTTGTCTAGCATTCATGATGCCCTAGGTTAAGTGCCAAGTACTGCAAAACAAACAAAACTCCGTATTTATTTTTAAAGGTTTTTTGAATTCATGTTTACAGCATTCATCCTTTGATAACATTTTTTTAATAACTGCATTGCTGCAACTTGTGTTTGTGGTTGATATTTCCTCCGTGTTCCATACTCATTATTTGGGAGGGTTTACTTATATTGCAACCGTCTCAGGGTGATAAGTCTTTATGACATTGGAATATCATAGTAATTATATGTACTTCTGTATTGGTCCATTTATCCTTGAGTAAAGATTGAGGCAGAAAGTACTTGTTTATAGTTCTGTGCATAATGCTGTAATTTATTTGATTTCTTTATTTAGTACCTTGTTGATGGGATCAATTACTTGCTGCAGATGCTAAATTATCGATGCCCTATCCAGTTAAATGAAGGTGTTTCTTTTCAAGACCTAGACACAGCTAAATTACTGAGTACAGGTAAGGTGATTTCTTGTTAACATTTCTAAGTGAAGTTTTCTTTTCTTTTTTTTTTTTTTTTAAGATTTTAGAAAGCTTGCTAACTACTCTCATTGAAATTTCATACAAAATTTAAAATGAATGCAAGAACTACAATTTTTTTCATATAATGTAGAAAAACACTTAAAACATGTTTAGTTTTAGCTAGATGTATTGGCACAAGTCTTTTTTTTTTTTTTTTTTTTTTTTTTTTTTTTTTTTTTGGTTTTTTCGAGACAGGGTTTCTCTGTGGCTTTGGAGCCTGTCCTGGAACTAGCTCTGTAGACCAGGCTGGTCTCGAACTCACAGAGATCCACCTGCCTCTGCCTCCCGAGTGCTGGGATTAAAGGCGTGTGCCACCATGGCCCGGCCAAGTACCTTCAGTTCATCTGACCTCAGAGTAAAGGCACAGAACAAATATTTCATTTTGTAACTTATTTTATTTATTTATTTATTTTATTGTTTTTGTTTCTCTGTGGGTTTCTCTGTGGTTTTGGTTCCTGTCCTGGAACTAGCTCTTGTAGACCAGGCTGGTCTCGAACTCCCAGAGATCCGCCTGCCGAGTGCTGGGATTAAAGGCGTGCGCCACCACTGCCTGGCTTTATAAAAATCCCAGTACTCAAGAAGCAAAGTCATAAGAAATTGTGAGTTCAAGATCAGCTTGTTCTGTATAGTGAGTTCCAGGACAGTCAGGGTTACATAGCAAGATGTGAGAAGTGTGTGTGTGTGTGTGTGTGTAGTTTTGCTTTTATTCATGTGTTCATGTGTGAGTGAATTTATGTGCATGTATGTAGGTACCCACAGAGGTCAACAGGATGCAGAACCTGGAGTTAATTTAGAAGAGTTAATGTATCATGTTACTTTTGTTTTGACAAGAACTAGATTTGGCTATTAATATCATACTAGAAGTAAGTTTTAAAGGAGATAGACTTTTAGGGCTTTTTATGTGCTAATTGTACTTGATAGGTAGAAATTGCTTTACACATAGAAAATATAATACGTATTCCTACTACTCCTGGTCTACCTAGATCTCTTATTCTAAGTCTAATTTGTCTTTATAACAAATTAACATGCTTTGACCTTAAATATTTAATTGCAAAATTTCTGGGAATAATGTTAAAGGAATAGTCATCTTTTGATGGAAATTGTCCTGGTATTCTTTTTTCCTAGTGATACAAAGCAACTTGGATATCTTTAGCATCTGTGATAGTTTAGAATTGTATGGCCTACCAAACACATGATAATACTTAAGACTGTTAGTGTACTCAAATATAAGATGTATTTTAACAATATAGTTATATCACTGATCCTAGAGCATCCTTCAAAATAAACTTTGTGTTCATGGATGCAGTTCAGAAAATTTATGAGAGTTCTGAAGTTATGTACAGAATTTAGGCTATAATCTAGAAGGGTTCCACCAGTGAAATTAATTCTCAAAGAAGGTTCTAAAGAGGCCTCATAGAAATGTTAAGAATAACTAAATCGTTATTTAAAATATTATTTGACAATACTCTGCTTTGTTTGGGGAATTTCTTATCTAGATAAAAGACACAGCATTGATTTAGTTAGAATTGTGCTAGTGATAGTGGGCTTTTCTGAGCATTAGTAAATGGTATGAAAAATGTTTATTGCTAAAGACATTATGAGTTTTTCAATAGCTGATGTTGCTTTCTATAAACTTAACTCTAATTTCAAAATAAATGACCTTCCCAGGAATATTTAGTGATATTCATGTGCTGGCTATGATGTACAGCGGAGAAATGTGCTACTGGGGATTAAAGCATTGCACAGATCTACAGTCAGAAAATAATGAAGTTGATACTGATGTTTTTGGAGCAAGTTGCACCACACACAAAGAGCCTTTGGATTTCCGAGAAGTAGGTGAAAAAATTTTGAAGAAGTATGTGTCGGTGTGTGAAGGACCTCTGAAAGAGCAGGAGTGGAACACGGCGAATGCTAAGCAGATCCTGAGCTTCTTTCAGCAGCGCTGTAGCTAGGTGTTCCTCTGTCCTCACTGCTTGGAAGAAGATGGGTGAGATGGAAAAGAAGGCTTCAGGAGAGGCAATGTCTACACTGATCCTAAGTATATACACTACGTAAAGATGCCCAGCATGGCTACCCTTCTCTAATGCTATCACCATTCATTGTATAGTCCTAAATCTGTGAAAAAGTAGTCTCTCCCTTCTAAAATAGCATATATGTTATTCTAACTGAACTGAACTGCATACAATCCTGCCACTGGTGAGGAGAGCCCCAGTTATATTTCACTGTGGTAAAATATATGTAACACAAATCTGCATACTTCAAAGATGAAAATCAGTTTTCTCCTTGTTTCAGATATATAGATCAGTATAAATGTAGGCAATTAAAAGATTATAACTATATTTAGATTTCATTTCCAGTAATCTTAAATGGCAAAAGATTTTAGGAATGAACCATTGTATTTATTTTGCCATGTATTACTAATAATACTTAAATTATTGACTTAGCTACTTTATAAATTATTTTTCTTATTTTGTTTAAAACAAAAACTGCATGGTTTCTCCAGTAATGAAGATAAAAATCAGTGTAAATGATTCTATCAGTTCAGATGCTTTTAGGGCACATCTTTGCATATAATGAACTTTACATATGTTTTGCCTTTATTAGGATTGAAATGCTGATGGTCAGAGAGCCTAGTTTGCTGTCTTGCTCACCAACTTTCTGCCTACCTCAACTCCTGTTGTCTTGGGATAGTCTGTATGATGATCCCTTCTGATGCACTAGACTTCTGTCCCAATGACATCTTTACATTCCAGTAATTTCTGCTCCTGCACCTTGTGCATTAGCCATACTCAGTTTCTCTTTCTAAAATCTTAAGTTTCAGTAACTGATAACAATTCTCCGCTTTTCAGCTTTTAAAATTTCCTTGTTTTTGTTGGTTTCTCTCTATTTTTATTCTACAGCTTTTATCCTTTTTACAGGTTTCTTTCTTGACTGTTCTTCTGACTCTTAGCCTCTTTCATGCTTTCTTTGCCCTGCATTTCATGGGACGTCATCTGAACTACTCTCCCCCATTGTTTCCTCTTCTGTCTTATCTGGTAGTGTTGTCCTTAGCTGGCTTTATTCATCCTCCATCAGCTGTTTATTCTTAGGAGACTTAGTTATGTGGAAGGCATGTAGTCTTTCAGAGTGTGTTTCTACATGTGTGACTTCACTTAGAAGAACGTTGACTGTAAGCAACGAAGGTGCCTGTCCTTCCCCACTGTGGTAGAGTCAAATTCATTAGTCAAATTCTGAAGGAGTCAACTTATATTTACTCATTTTTCTGTTTTAAAGAAAAATAGGTTACCTATTTTTTGATGACCAATCTTTTCTAGTTCCTTGTTTTCTTGTTGTTTCTCACTTTCTGTCTTCATGTAAGTTCTGTCTTCTTTCTCTTTCTTGCTTTTTACTCCAAATGCTCATGCTAAAGAATATCTTTCACAGCCATTTGGCTTGCAGTGCCCATAATATCAGGCTGATTTCCCTGCCAGGAACTTGAGCCCCAGTCTCCTTGCTTCCTCTGAAGTTTATTTCTAACTGCCTATTAAATACTGACTGCACAGTAATTTTAAGTTCAGTATGAGCAAAAGACAGATACTTCATTTTTAATGGAAAATCTTCTCTGCTTCACCCCCCCCCCCCCCCCGGAGTTTTGTGTAGTTTTTCAGGAAGAGAAACAGAAGGTTTACCTTCCCAGCCTCATTTCTATACTCACTCTGATTTGTCTTCTAGATCAACATTTTTTCAAACATCAAAATTACAGGCTTCTTTTTGATCAACAAAATTCTGAATAGGCAATGGTAGCTAGGGGAGATTCCTCCATCCCTGCTTCAACTCCTGGCATATCTTTATAAAACCAAGATTTTTATGTTTCCTAGCATTTTAGCAAGTTTTATTATGAAAATACTTTGGCTTTCTAAAATTAAATAATCTTTAATGTGATTTTTAGAAGCACAGACTTTTTCAGTGGGTCATAGTCAATTAATCAAGTTCTTCCAGTACTTTCCCAATGCACTTATGTGTTTCAGCCTCAGTACCTTTGTAGACACCATTATTTCCAGGCCTCTCTTTGTGGTCAGGTAAATAATTTACTTGTATGATGTACTTTTAGTAATACTGTGTCCAGAGGCTGTTTTCAGCCCTTTCCAGTAGAAATTAGATATTCCTTCATATTTTTTGTCTTCCTTTTCCCACATTACCACAGCACAATGTGTTGTAATTATTTTTCTTACTATTAAATGAACTCCATAGCTTAAAAATTTACCTTTGCACATACTGTTCATTGCATGGTAGGTAGTTATGTTTTTTGAATTAATGAGGCATGATTTGAAATGCCAAATTTTGCACAAAAGCGTTGCTGCTATTGCATTCCAAACTGCCATGCCCTCTATACCAGTGGTTCATACATCAAAAAGGAAAATATATTCCTCAGAAGAGTAAAGTGTTACTTGGATACTAAACCTGGGAAAACAAGACCTTATCTTCAGAAGCTGAGAACTTCATGTTTTGCCTTTATTACCTTTGTGGACTCACTGGTTGGTACAATTATGAGGGTATTCTTGGGTGCTTTTGTATAATTTACTCCCTCCCCCAAACAATTGGAGAACAATTTGTAGACCATAATAGTTGCAGGACTTTTTACTGTGGTATTATAAATGAACAACACATTTTGTATTCATTTAATCTTGATGAGTAAATTCTTTTATGTATAATGAAGTAACCTCAAAATACCAAATATTCCACATATGGACAATAGTTAAGCCTCCAATCGATTTTTCTCAACAACTGTTGTATGCCTACTACATGCCATGTCTTGTCCTAGGCACCAAGGATAGAGCTTTGGAAACACTATCATCCATCAGTAGATGAGGAATATACAGCATGTCAAGGGATAATGCTATTGAGCATGATGTAGGGTGTAAGGGACAAGTGTGACTTGGAGGTGGGTGCTGTTTTATTTAGAGTGATGAGAATGGCACATCTAAGCACCTGTCTTCAATTTCCATCCTGTTATTTAGATACCTTGTATATTCAGTACTGTCAAAGATTTTCTTAGGGAAGTCACCACCTACAACCTTCTCACTTTTGCTGCATTGAATGGACTTCTTATCAGTGGCATTCCTAATGTCTACTGCCTAAAGGCCTTGGCATTTTATTCATTCCAAGTAGTTTTCCTACTACCTTCCAGTTCCCTTTTCTGTCTTCTGTAAGGTTCCTATATCTGTCCACAGAAGCCAAACTCTGTAGTTTCTTTAATATCACTTCCCTATATATTTAAAACAATATGAGGTAACATAGTTTGGGAATATTACGTTAAGAGGTACTTAATATGTCACAATTAATGTATACATTATATATTCATGCTGATGTTCAGTGAGTTTTGTTTTCCTACTTCTAGTGAAAAATCACTTTATCTTCAGTTGGAATTCGTTGCTGTTTACTGAGATGTAAAATGTTATAGGATTTCCCACAATCCTTAAATGTTTATCCTTAAATGTATGAATTTTCTGATATGGATCAGGCTGTGAGACTTGAATGTGAGTTTGAGGCCAGCCTGGTCTACAAAGGAAGTTTCAGGACAGCTAGGGCTATTACACAGAAACCCTGTGTCATAAAACAAAAACAACAACAAAAAGACTAAGAGACTGTCTCTTACTATGTTTATAGGCTTTTTGGCTACTGTGTATTATTTGGTGTTAAGGCACATATGGCATTCCCTTGTCTTTTGCATACAGTAGAGTGAGGTAAGAGTCATGACTAAAAGCCCACCATAAAGTTACATTCCTAGTGTTACAGCCTTGCCGTCAGTGCTCTGATCTTCATTAAAATGTATGAGCTGTGTGTGAAGTTGTTGTCTGACTTATCTTCATGACACTTTAAAAACCCACTGCTACTAACATGGTCTACTTTAGATTGCTTGTATCCTTGGTCCGTCTTTTAGGGTCCCTTTTGTAACTATGAGGATAACCCATCTGCCACAGAATCCAGGATTCCATAGTTCTCTAGTATTACTTATCCTGAGTTCTTTTAATATAAAATGAAATACATTATGGAAGTATTATATTAACATAAGCTTAATATAGCCGGAATTAAAAGTATTCATTATATACTTATGCTGGTGTTGAGTAGTTTGGTTTTTGCGACTTTTAGTGACATTTTCCAACTACAGTGTTTTGGAACATGATTAATAAAATAAAACCACATTACTGTACTTGTTTCTTGTTTTATATTTTATTCTTGCATCAGAATAAAAACATTTCCTCTCAGTTTGCTGTCCTGATTTTTGAATGGTTTTTTTTCTGGTCCTAATAACTTGCAGACAGGTTAGCATAATGATTCAGATAGTGAGTTCTGGAGCTAGAAGGCCTGAATTAATTCACAACCCTGCCATCCTAACTGTAATCCTATGTAAATTACTAAGGCTTTTTGGCTTTTAATATTCTATTTCTCTATTATTTTTAAGTATGTTTAAATGGTGCATTTCTGTGCTCATGGCCCGCAGAGGCTAGAGGCTTCAGATATCAGGAGCTAGAGTTTCAGGTGATGTGAGTCAACTGGGGTGGGTGTTAGGATTCCAACTTCCATCCTCTGCGAGAGCAGGAGGAACTCCTAACCACTGATCCACCTCTCCAGTCCATTAATCTTACTTTCCACAAATATTTCTATAAGGAATCTGAATTCTCATTCAATAGATAATTCACATTTCCTTGTAATACAAGAGCAGTGGCATTTTGTTTCTTCATGCTTAACTGACTTAGTTTCTCATGCTAATTTTCTTTCTATGAAAATAAAACAATGTAGGGAGGAGAAATGCCATCTAAGTAATTCTTACCTTTTCCTGTTGACCCGAGCCTATGCTTGACCTATTTGCTAGCAATGGTGTGTAGAAAAATTATTTTAAATTTAGATTCTTACAGAGCCCCAATTGCCCGGTCGTCAAGCTTTGTTGAACTTCTTGTCATTCAGATCCTCAGCTACTACTTTCTGAATGATGGGCCCTATTGCAAAGCATTTATGGTCTACTACTGAGCAGTGAATACTGTTCCATGCGCCATATATTATTAATTCTCCACTGTTTTAATATTTATATACTGGCGACTTTCTGGTAGCCTAGTATGTTCTTTAAAGGTTTAATGTTTATAAAGATGTAGATCTCGCCTTCTACTTTGAAGATTAAAAAATGGGATTAATTTTTAAATATCCTATGGATTAGATATAAGAGAACATTTTGACAATAGAGGTTAAGCCAATTGTATATGCAGATAATATAATTTAAATGTTTTCACAAAAACAATATAGCTGGGTATCGTGGAGTGGTAAGCACTTACCGGTTGACAAATTTAGATTGAGATAGTCTATTTGAAAATATCTGATACATGCTACCAAGTGTCTTTCCTAAAGGAACCATATCCAGTGCTATATAATATAGTCTACCTCCTTTTAAAAAATGTCTTTTAAATTAAGATTAAAGTGAGCAGAATAGACATGGCTTCCAAAAGACTAAAAATTCACTTGTTGCTTTTAAGAATACCACATTGTTTTCCTATCAAATTTTCTTCCATCGATCATTGAACAAATTTTTAGTGTACTTAAATTTTTGTAGTGAACTTAAGACGCCATTTTGGTATGAAGTACCTAATGATTGGGCTATTTTTTGAGGCAAAATAACAACTCTTACGTAAACAAAATATGGGTGGCCACAGCCAGAGAGTACTCAAGTTACCTTGAATGGCACACTGAGTTGCGGAAGCAGTTCACAAGAACAAAGGCCATATATGAAATACATTTACCACCTACATTCATGGCAGCATTATGTACCCAGCCTAGATGAAATTGGGTAAATCTTCTCTGGATTTCAGATGTTACATTATTTACTTTAAGATAGATAAAGGGGGCTGGAGAGATGACGGCTCAGCAATTAAGAGCATGTACTGTTCTTACATGGACCTGAGTGGGTGGCACACAGCTCCAAGTTCCAGACCCAGGGGATGTCTCTGGCCTCTGCAGGATCCTGCGATTCATGCAGATACTCACAAAACTATAGTTAAATTAAAATCTTAAAACATTTGTAAAGGCTAGATGTTTCCTAGCTTCCTAACCACAAGTTTTACCTAATATTCCTGAGAAGGTTAGACCGAATACAGTGATTGAAGGTAAGGCGCTATTAAAGGACATTACTGAGGCAGTTTTGGCTCTCCAGCCGCAAGACTCTTTCTCCAAAGCAGGATGTGCTAGTCAGTCAATGTCACATATCCTGCAATATCTTTAATACAGATATGGCTTCTTGGAGAACTTTAGTTCCGCAGCCTCCTGATAGTCTCTGTGGGCTCAGTTTTTCGAAGCTCCAAGAAATTGGTAAATTGGTGATTCCAAAACACGGATGCACACAGCCCACTTATACTTAATTCTTAAGGAGAAGCACGTGTAATTAGGACCAATATCACAGAAAAGGGTAGCTATTGAACAAACCATCGCTCCTAGGTCCTTGCAGTGAATGGAGCCAGAAGCCAGAGATCAAGTGTGTGTGTGTGTGTGTGTGTGTGTGTGTGTGTGTGTGAGAGAGAGAGAGAGAGAGAGAGAGAGAGAGAGAGAGAGACAGAGACAGAGACAGAGACAGACAGAGAGACAGAGAGATAGTATAGTCTAGGGTAAGGAGGTAGGGCAGAGGGGGCAGTCGGGTGTGTGTGTGTGTGTGTGTGTGTGTGTGTGTGTGTGTGTGTGTGTGTGAGGGTAAGGAGGTAGGGCAGAGGGGGCAGTCGGGTGTGTGTGTGTGTGTGTGTGTGTGTGTTTTTGTATAGTCTGGGGTAAGGAGGTAGGACAGAGAGGACAGTCATTCCGGGGTCAGAGGGTTCCCAGCAGTGGTGAAAGAGCTGGCTGTGGTGACCAGCACGAGTGGGTGAGCGATGGTTGGCGCGGACCTCTGCCCAGAACCGCGCCCAGTAGGTCAGCCCGGGGCGGCCCAGCGCGGCGGGCGGAGGCGGAGACGGAGGCCGAGCGGCCAGCAAGCGGGTGCGCCCGGCTTCGTCGCGCGGCGACGGCGGCCATGGCTGGAAGCGAGCCCCGCGGAGCCGGCTCGCCGCCGCCCGCCAGCGACTGGGGCCGCCTGGAGGCCGCCATCCTGAGCGGCTGGAGGACCTTCTGGCACTCGGTGGGCAAGGAGCGGGCGGCGCGGACGGTCTCCCGGGAGGAGTCGGAGGAGGAGACCAGCGCGCTGACGCGGCTGCCGGTAAGCCAGCCCAGAGCGCAGGCCAGCCACTTCCGGGTGTGTGCTCGCCTGGAACGACAGTGCCCGGAGTCGCCTGGACGTTGACTCTTGTTTGTGCCCCAGCCAGCCAGGGTCGCCCCACGTCTCTCACTAGTGACCAGCGAGATCGCCCACAGATTGTCAGCGGTCCAAACAGGAGATGTGGAAATCTGTTTTAGGGAAATGGGTTAGCTTGGGAAAGCATCCCACTGTCTCTGTTCTTTTTTTTTTTCATAATTCCTTATTATTTATTTTCCTCTTACAAAAGACAACTTGGACAAATAAATATAAAATGGTATATGTCATATTTAGAAATGGCCAAAGACACATTTTCTTGGTATTCCTCACCAGAATACACTAATAAAATGTTCAGAAACACATTCATCTTTCCTACCACCCACTTTTTTTGTCTTAAAAAAAGTCAATTCTTTTACTTTTCCACAATTTTTAACAATGAATTATCAAAATAAGTGATCGAACACTACTCAGAGACAAAGATTTTTAAATGAAAAGTTTTAAAAATACATGTGTGTACACACACAATATGATGTTGCACAGAAACTCGAACTAATGAATAATAGAAGATTAATTTCCTAGGTAGCATGTCACAATTCTCCCGAAGTGTGAATAACCACCAGAAAGCCCAAAGCCAAGAGCCAACATAGTAAATCAACATGCAGTCAGAATCCTATGAGAGTCACATCAGGGCTCAGCGGTGGAGTTGACAATTCAGTCTCTTCACAGTGGGAGACGATGCTTCCTGATGGATGTAGGTCATGTTCCCTCCTGAGACACAGATACATCACTGCTGCTGAGGTCACAATTTGGGACAATTTAGGAATCCAAATTTAGCTCGAGCATGTATCTCCAGTAGGAAATTGAAGACAGACAGTATAAATGGGAGTTCAGTGGAACCTGCCTGCAGAGCTCTTTTATTTCCCTTTAAGGCTACAGAAAATCTGACCATATGCAAGGAAATTAATTCTCATCATAAAAATATCCCTACAGTAGCCAAGCCGTCCAGTCAGGTTCCACATGGAGTATGCTGTACTGCATTCTATTCCGAGGGCGTATTTTGTGAGTCCGCAGTGTTAGGATCAATTCTTTCTGGAAATATTAGCTGCTTCCTTAATTGGTAACTATTGTGATATTTCGTTAGGTTCCGTGAAGAGGGAAGGTGGAACATGCATTAAATTGCAATTTTGCTCTCTCGTGGTGTATATTCTCGTAACATGTAGGTCTTGTCAGAAAAATTTCCACTTGATAACACGTTTATTCTGAGAGAGAAATTATTCATTGGTATATCAAAATACCCACAGAAAGAAAAATATGGAAGTTGTTATTTTGCCTGAAAGACGAGGCCTTGAACTTTCAAGAATGTTTCATAGGTGTTAGGAATGAAAACGTTGAGTTTTGATTTTTCTCTGGGTGAAGGAAGACAAGACTTGGTAGTATGAAGAAGGGCTCGCTCGGTTGCCCTTTAAGAGAGCAATTCCTTGTTGATTATCTCAGCTGTGCTCCTTTTCTTACGCGTGCGCGGTCGCCTCTCTTTCAGATTGATGTGCAGCTGTATATCTTGTCCTTTCTTTCACCCCATGATCTGTGCCAGTTGGGAAGTACAGACCGTTACTGGAATGAAACCGTAAGAGACCCAATCCTCTGGAGATATTTTCTCTTGCGGGACCTCCCTTCTTGGTCTTCTGTTGATTGGAAGTCACTTCCGGATCTAGAGATCTTAAAAAAGCCTATATCTGAGGTCACCAACAGCACCTGTTTTGATTACATGAAGGTGTAAGTATCAATTTCCGTGAATTAGCAGGAGATGGTAAATTTTACACTAAAATAGTCCACGCTAGTTCTAACACTGCTACTAATTTGTTGCATGGAATTTGTCTAAATGGCCCCTTTAAAAAAGTTATGGGTTTGAGGTAATTGACTTTTTTCATAAGACTCTTACAGCTTTAACCTTTTGTGTTATTTCCCTGTGGTGACCAACCAGTTTTCAATTAATAT